CCTTTGGGCTGCATTTTTAAAAGCCAACTTGATTTCAAAGGCATCAGGAAATTGTGTGCCTGAGAGCAGAGGATGAAGACAGGTGAGTGAAGAAAGGGGAAAGGTGCTTAGGATCCCCTAAGAAAACTGGGACTGATCCAGAGGAGTCCAAGGCTCCACATTCCTCACATAGAGTCCCTGATTCGCAGTTTAGCCAAGTGCGGTAAGCTTCTAAAGAGATTAGTGACAGATTTGCTTTCTTCTTGGGTGCTCCAGACCACAAGCATCCAGAAAAAATGTTCGCCAAGTTTCCTTAAGGTAGAATTGATGGTTCATAGCAGGGCACCTGTGTATGAACCATTCTTTGAACAGTTTTATATTTTCCTATCCACCTTTCTGGAACCTCCACAGTGAAATATGGAGCAGTCTAGAAAGTTTATAAATAAAATAATAAATAACAACAGGGGAGTTTCTCCAGCCCTTGATTTTAGTTGTCCTTTTTTTCACATAAAGGAGAGTAAAGTGAATGTAAGAAGATTTTCACCATCTCCATAGACCAGGACTGCATTTCCAGCCAGTTGTCAATGAAAACATGAAGGTCACACTAAGGACTGGAAGCCCAGGAGAGCAGATGCGACAGAGGTAGGACTCCCACACCTTTGAAGGACTCCCACACCTTTGAAGGGCCCTTTCAGACGTCTTTTTCTCCCAAAATCCCTTTCTCCTACACAACTAGTGATTAAAAGTACAGGAGATTCGCATTCTTTTGCATCTGGCCACCCTATTGGGACCCCACTGGTTTGGATGCCCAGTTAGTTGCACATGAAAATATGTCTTATGGCCTTGCATTCAGGATTAACTTCATAAAGGATTTTTCCTCCCTGTCTGCTGAACACGCTGCCCATCAGCTTCATCGGGTGATTGTGCAAAGGTAATCCTGATATCAGCCAGAAATCCTCAGTGGACAGTGAGCTTGTGATCCTGTTCGACCAGCTTCTTTTGCCCTTCCACAGCAGCCTGGCACACAGAGCTTTCCCTTGCACAGAGAGAAAAATTTTCAGCAACTCAATTCCTGCAGATCAGGCAGCTGTAGAGGCATGGAAGTCCTGCTAGAAACATGCAGAGGCACAGTCTCAAGTCTGGATTTCTGCTTGTCACATTGTTCTTAAAGGCATAGGTGGCATTCCAATACATGGGAGATCTTAAACATGGAAGACCAGCCCTTTAATCATGGGCTTCTGCACCTGAACCATTTCATTTCAAGGAGAAATTGAACTGGTGAAGCTTTTCTTATCAACCCACGTTGGGACCAGCACAGCTTTACCTGTTGAATTTCTGCCTGTCATGCAACAATTAAAGGCACAAGGGCCCTTCCATGAAAACAAACATTGGCCACCCTACCTAAAAAGTCCAACGGACAAACATTCCTTGAGGCCATCTACAGATCCTTAAATTACCACCTTAAATTGCCATTCCTGGATTAAGGAAATGCACTCAAAGTTTCTTCTCCACCAAGAACAAAAGCCTTATGGCATCGTAGTGATGCAGTTCCAGAGCTTTTGGCTCTGGCCTCTTGGCAGAGCAGCAGAGGCTAGGAGGGAGGCTGAGTGGCCAGGGGACTGGCAAGGCAAGGGAGGAGCTGGGAGGGGAGCAGGGGGCCAGGAGTAGCGGAGAGGAAGGGGG